TCCTATTCCACTCCTTAAAAGCATCCCACCACTGTATCCTGGTGAAAGACCATTTCACTCAGACACTAAAAACAGGTTGGAATCACAGCCAGAGCAAAGCTACAGTAGCAACAGAGCAACTTTTTTCAACAGTATGCTCCCACTCCTAAATCAAATGCTTCAACTGCACCATCTTATTCATCGTTCCTCAGGCTACCCAGTGAGCAAAGGGAAACAGAAAAAACTCACCAGAAACTAAAAGGGAAGCCAAGTGTGAAGTATGGGGTAATGCAACACCCACCTCCTTGAAAGGCAAACTTCAAAGAGCAGCTTTACAAAACAGCCATGAAAATTAACCAGCCCAGACACACACAAAAACCTACTCTGCCACCCTTTATCAATGTATTACAGTAAAGAAGAAACTAGTGACACTTTACTCACCCCATCCAAAAAGACATTATTCTCCCCTTGTTATTGTAGGGCTGAGATAAGCAGATGACAAACAGGGACGCAAACAAATCAAAGGTCAGGATCCAGGTTTGTGAAAGACATCACATAAAAGCAACTATATGTTTACTCAATGTGTGTACAGGTCCTCGCACAATGGGACCCTGACTTGATTGGCATCTCAGTGCTACTACAAAATAAATGTTTAATATTAATAAAAATGTGAGGGTCCAAAATAATATGAAAGCCAGAGGTGCTGTAAGTTGGGTGAGTCTGTCAGGAAAGGAAGCGTTTGACCCTATAGTCTCTGTAAGCAAACGAACTCCCCAAACACCAGAGCTGACTCTCAGAGAATGTCCTATAGACTATATGAAGAGAGGTATGCTAGAGTGCCACTCAGAAATTAGCTTTGAAGTAGCAATACTAGCAGTTCATTTTTTGAGCACCTGAGAAGTGAGATACTGAGAACTACTCCTTATTTTAAAATTAATATTCAGCCATTACCAAGTGGCAGTTATAACAGAGCAGACTGACCAACATCAAGCGACGTTAACGCCTCCAAAACACCAGCTCAATGCATCACATGCTTTGTGGGCAAAAAAGCCTAAGTTAATGAGCCTTGGAGTCAGTCAGCAAACAATGGCTGTTTCAGGCCAAAAGGAAGGGGTTAATTCCAGAGAGGAAGGCCCGCTAGTGAGAATGGGCACCAGAACAAGGACAAGAGTGCTAATCTAATTAGAAAAAGGGCCACAGCTGAATAACTGTCAGGGGACATGTGTCATTTGGAAAAGTCACTAAGGTAGCAATGGCCCAAACTAAACTATATATTACAGTCACTGCCTTCAATTGTCCCCAGAAAGGAAATGGGAGCCATTGCAGAGAGTAGAAGCAATATTCTTTTTACAGCTAACACTGCTGAATAATTTGGCAATCATGTTTTGAACCAGCAGAAAACACTGAAGAGGACTAACCACATGAAGGTCACCACAGCTACCTAGGCATTTGTGAATTCCCCACCCAGGATGACAAACCATTACCACTTGGTAAAATGCAGATGAAAAGTGTTGCTTCTAGACATCAGTACCTCTTGATAATCCTGGATCAGTAAAGAGTCCCAGATGGCTAACCTCATGGATAAACATACCCACTCAAAGCTAGGCTCAGATACCAATCAAGCCACATTCTCTAAAGAGAAGCAGGATGCTCTGCAGAGAATCAACCATTAGGATATATTCTTCTTTCAATGTACCCAAATCATAAAATAAAGGTGGGAGTTAGGGATATTGGAAACAGTTTGTACATAAAGGCAACAAAGTTTATCCAAGCAGGAAAGGTTTTAATATTACCTCAGACCAAGTCTGCCACTAAAACTCCTAAAGAAGGTGAAAGGTGATGATGGTTTGAATAACCTGACAGGCCAAGGCAATTTGCTAGATATTTAAATTCAGGAGCTCTCCCAGCTCTGACCCCTCATTTCCAGTACTGCTCTACCCATCATCAGCTCTTCCCTTCTCCAGGATTGTATTTGGTTGCCTTTGTTTATGCTAACAGATAAGCATGCTGCTGTTGCCAGAGAAACAAAACATCCATGTTGCACATTTTGAAGTTGCTGCTGCCATACCCAGCCACCCAAAGGGTGTACACCCAGTCTATGGTTTCTTGATACAAACACAAAATAAATGACAGATGTGGGAAATGCTTCAAAGCAGAGCCATATTTCTAGAACATTATGAGCAGGCACCTTTCCCAACCTGTACCTACCACATGGTCCACAAGTCCAAACTCACTCCTTTCCAGGATTTGGCTTTGTTAGCCAAAGAAGTCAACAATCTGGGGATAAAGTTTAGCTCAATCCTTCTCTCCAAGTTTACTAGCATTCCTTTCTCAATACTGCTCAAGCCCCAACCTAGATCCTCTTTCCTACCTCCATTATATCCAGATGAGATAACAAGGCATTTGTACCAATGAATCAGTAAAACCTACCTTAACCCTTTCCCAGCAGTATCAACACCTGCTAATGGAGTGCAAGGTTTCAGGCAAATGTTGCCCACCTGCTATCCAAGTCAATTCCTAAAGTTTCTTACTTTAATAAAAAGGATAACCTCTAACCTTTGCCTATTCCATAGTATATATCACTCTCACACACACACACACACACACACACACACACACACACACACACTAATCACCTTCCAATTTTATGTAACAAAAAATAAGTTAGTTCTATTTGGGGCTAGGTTCTTTTTTGTTAAATTGTATACTTAGCCTTGGAGATAATGAAATAATTCTGGGTACAAAATAAAAGTTTTATCAAATACTGAATTTCTCCCTGAGGGTTTTCTGGCCAAAACCTTAATTCCAAAAAAGTATCCCTCTAATGCAAGTATCATTGATATGGAACTGAATAAGGCTCTCACTGGGCCATCTGTAGTACTGACCTTATATCCAAGCACTTACTATATTATAGCTACATTCTATCACCCTCAAAAAGTACTTTGCTCACTTGCTGGGTGAACTAGCTAGTAATGCCCTCAGAGAAGGCATTCCAATACGTTGTCTTAAACCACAGATTAATTAATAAAGTGGCACTGGAGTGGGACAGAACATGAGCAGTATCCTCACAGAAATGAGCGCCATCTTTCTCTCCCAGATCAAGAGATCAGCTGAGAAACTTTAGATACACTACTGGCAGATGCGGACACACCTTTTGACTTCAGTGTGTCTATAGATCAGAGCTTCTCAAGACACACATACTTCCCCTACAAACACTTGTGACCAGGAGACTCTAGGCTAAATTCATTGGCTTATCCGGGTGCAACTTCATGGACTTCAGCAGTTATGTTCACCTACACTAGCTGTGAATTTTACCCTGCTTCAAGTCTCCATTACCATTTGAGATTTCCTTTTCCACTGGTTGATACTTGGCCTCCTCCCACCCTTGCTCCCACCGAGTGAAGCAGCATCTGCCTTGCAGTAGTCCTTAAGAGGCCCCAGTTCCTGAAGAAGGCACTGGCAGAGTATAATGCCCCAAACAGCACCCTGACATAATTGGGACAAATCTGCTATAACTTCTCATTATGGAGAGCACAACTGATGCCAGTGGAACGAAATCAAACTGTTGAACCAAACGGACTACATGAGCCATAGGGAAGAAAGGATGGAGTATCAGGAGGAAAGGTCCAGGGAAGGAGATAGGAGGTTGGCTAAGGTGCCAAAGCATCACGGAGTATAAATGTAGAAGAAGAGAGGGCTCTTTGCATGTGAGGAAGGATTGGTCACGTAACGATTGCAGTATTGTGTTCAAACAACCTGCTAAATGAGTAGCCCTCCCAGATCCCAGCAGTAACAATAGAGTGTATCAGGAAGAAGTCAAAATATTTCATGAAAACGAAGTTATTAGTAACAAATACACCACAACCCAACATTTTTGGATTAACAGATTTATTTGAAACTGTACATGAGAATTTAGGGGATATGCATCACAGCTACATTTGAGGATACCAGATTTCTCCAATTAACTTGTCTACAAGACATACTTTGTCAAACAATGTGATCAGATTATCCCAAGTTAGTTACATGGCTATGGAAGAGAATCACATGTGATGCAAGAACAGTTAGAGCAAAGAGAGTGTAAGAACAAACTGGATTATTGTACACACTAGATCACTTTGGAAACATGAAATTCTTTCCGACAGAGCATGTCTATACAGCATCATTAGTAAACATTTTGCAATAATAGTCAGAATTATTCTTAAAACAAAACAATGTTAGCTTCAAATATAACTTGGCTATCCACTATGCTTATAAGGTAAAAACATAGGACTTAACTGTTGAAAGTATTCGCCTTTAGCGGTAAATACATAGCAAAAGTATTTAAATTGAAATCAATGAGGGGGTTTAAGCTGATATTTAAGTATTTCACTGACTAGGGAGGGAGTTAAGCAATATGTGCTTAAGTACTTGCCTGAATCAGGGCCATATTCATTAAAGCATGCTGAGGAAAATATATACACTGGATAGGGATATTTCTCCCACATAATCCACTGTTAAGATGAAAGAGTCCTGTGCTGGTGCATGCACACAGGGTCTGATACTGTCCTCACAGATTTCACTGGGAGTAGGATCAAGCTTATAGTCATTTAGTTATGGCATTTCATTTCCTGTTAATAACTCTGATGGATGTATACAAGTGTCAGTGACAATTCAACTTCATTGTACTCTTTGCCCCCACAATCATACATATAATGAAATTCATCTATTTGTACAAGCATAATATTAGAATTCAATGTGCAATCCACAATACAAAGTTCTACATTTGAAACACTTGTGTCTTTTTAGTTCACTTCAAGCAAATTACAAAGAACTACGGAATAGCATGATAATGCTACTGATTTATACACAGTACAGCATAAGACACTGGGAAAAAAGCTACTGAGAAATATAAATATTCTGCTGGCCTCTAAAATTAATATTAGTTTTTCTCCATAAGTTAATATTTGTGTGATTAAAAAACAAACAAACTTAACATTGTTGCCATTTATCTCATACCTATCTAAATACAAAAAGAAACCTTTAATACAATCGTCTTTGCCTCAAAACCAGTTAAACTGTTTAAATAAGTCAGCTTGCCACAGCTATTAAATCCAGGTATTCAGACACCTGGGTATGGAACATTCCCATCTGTTCAGAGGAATTTGAATTGTTAACATAACCCACTATATGATAGTGAACTAAATACTTTTGTTTCATAGAAACAACTCACATTTGCCTCCACAGGGCAAATGGTCTATTTACAGATACATTAGGACTGCCTAACTGACAGTGAGTGTGCTGAACTCCAAGACACATGGAGTTTAATATGGTGAAGCTCTTTGCTGAACTGCCTTCCCCTTCAGGATACGTCGTATCTGAAGAAAAGAGAGAGAGAGAGACAAAGATTAATATGCACCCTCTCATACTGAATCATTCTAAAGTCAGAAAAAATATCTAACAAACCCAAACCTGTATCCCTTTTTTTTTTGCTAATAGCTTAGAGTCTGAGCCCATTCGTTTCAGTGATTTGCCCGGACATTAAATGATTTATGCCACTGTAAATGAGGTCAGAATTACTTACTTGCTTAGATTATAAGCTTTTATTTGTTATGAGCATCTAGCATAGTAGGCCCCTAGTCCTGGCTGGGGCTTCTAGGTGCCACCACAATACAAATAATAAATCAAGAACTAGTTCATATTCATAAGTTTGGGCCTTATATGCTATGAAGTTATGACACTGGGGAAAAAAAAAAAAAAGCTAAATATTGGTTCTACAATAAAAAGCTATTGAGAGACAAAATAAATGCTACAAGTACCTTCTAGAATTCTGTGCATCTGACATGTTAAAACTACACATGATCCTGAACCTAAAAATTTAGATTTTAAAGGAAACGGTATTTTTAATATCTTTTTTAAAGATTACTATTTAATTATTTAAGGGAATGCTCAGGGTAATTGGATTGGGCCAAATCCTGGTCCTACAAAAACCACTGTCCCACTGTATTGAAGAGTCTAGAGTTGTACAAATTGGGTACAGCAAATCTGCTATGTGATTCAGAGATAAGCAAACTGAACTGCTAGACTCAAAAAAATTCAATTCACGTTTCTGAAGAGCCAACGACCATTCCTGAAACCAAGATCAGCCTATCACTATCTACACTACTAGCCTTGTGACTCCCCGAGCAACTTAAACTTTTAATTGCTTCAAGCTTTACATTTAGCATGTAGCAATTAGAAGAGCATTGCAATGAGGGGAAAGGGCTATTGGAATACTCAATTGTCTTATTCAGAATGGTCACACTATTCTGCTCTCTTAGGAAAGAAGACAGGGAGGGTCTCATCTTAATATCAACTCAGAAATGTGTTGATAGCTAGGTCTCCCATCCAGGACCTCCAGAGAGGGAGGGCTTCTAAGGAACAGTCATTGATTTGTATCAGTTGCCAGCAATCCCAGGGAAAGGATTGAAAGAATTTGAAGGGTTTTTTTTTTTTTTACCTGTTCTCCTACAGGGCCATCAGGAACCAGGTGAACTGGTTGCTCATTCTCCAAGTTTCTAGCACTTGGATCAGCTCCCTTTCGCATCAGCAGACGAACTGCATCCAACTGAGTCACCCGATACTGCAGGCTGGCAGCCACATGGAGTGCTGTGTTGCCATTGTAAGCCTAGTGAATCAAGAGAGTAACACTATTAAGGATAGGAAGGTTTATGAAGCACAGTGTACACACAATGCCATTACCACACAACAACATTCTACTCTACTGCTGAATTCAAGAAAGATACCATACCTTTGCGTTAACGAAAGAGAGGCAGTTGGGTAGATCCAAAAAGAAACGAATAAGCTCCAGATTGGCTTCTTCTGCTGCCAAATGCAGAGCCGAGCGACCACTTTTACCATCCTATCCAAAAAGGAAAGCAAAAACTTTCAGTATTACATGCTGGACATTTGGTGGTTCCACTGTGAGAACACAAACATACCTGGATATTTAAAACAAAGGGAAATAAACATTTTCATGGGAAAAAATACCTGCCTTTCCCACCCCACTGGTATTGTAATTCCATGAACACACTGAAAATTAATCCAAAATTAAAGCAGAGTTAATTCTTCTTAAAAGTAAATATTCCAGACCCTCAGCTGGTGTTAACATTGGCATAGTTCTACTGAAGGCAAAGGAGATATGCCAAATTTTCACCAGCTGACAAACTGGCCCACTATACACTTGAACTGGACACAGGATCAGCATTTAACTCAAATTCAAATGTCAAGAACGGTGCAAAACTAGTGCCTAGTTATTATGGATATATCACACTGCTTCCAATGACTTTCCCTTTTCATAAGACAGAATTACCAGCACAGCAAAAATTAGTTCATCTAAAAATTAAGCGGTCACTCCCCTCTCCTAATATGTATCGTTTGCACTGTCTGGCCTGAATAAATGTAATGTTCCTATTCCAATCACATAAATTAGATCCTACTGTGCTTTGATGCTTTTTTTTTTTTTTAAATTAGCTCCGCTTTATTTGTAATAAGTGATTCTTTTCACTTGGAGAGTTCTCTCGAGACCAGTCAGTCCCCAGTTAAGGAATTATTGCTCTTACTTTTGCTTCGACAGAGGCTCCCATTTGGATCAGAGCTTTGATGGTGTCCACCAGGCTCTTGTTTTTCAACAGAAGCTCCTGGACTTCAGGAGAGTGCGGCTGCTGACTGTTCCGGAGTTCGTGCACCACAGCATTATGGGCCAGCACTGCACAGTGCAAAGCTGTGAACCCTTAAAAATTAAAAACAATTCAATAAGCAAACAGTAAAGAACCACTGGACAGGCGGCTTGTTTCAAAAGGGGCTCCCTTCTGTGGTTCCACTTCTCTGACTAACACCAGATGTCCTTGTGCTGCTCTGTGTTTGTGATGTCAGGGGTTAAACAGTAACCAGTTCTCAGCAGGTGACTAACGGAAGAACTGATTTTCAGAAGACTGTGTTATAACATGTACTTTAGACTAAACTGTTAACAGAGCAAGTTTCAATTTAAACAGCTTTCAGCTGAATTGATGGTTAATTCCTTTGCTCTGTATTCCTTATTCTTTCCTCGATATTCAGCCACACCAGTTATTAGATTAGAACTAGATAGATGTACATTTTAAACATTTATCCACCAGAGTTAATGTGGAAGTCATGCAGAATCCAAGAAAGTAAGTTCATAGAAACTAACATAGTTTCTACTTGCTTAGGAAAACCTAGCTGATGTGCCAATCACAATTATCTTCAGGTGGGAAAGAAACATTTGACGCCCCTAGTTGTATTGCTTTTTGCCCAGTGTAGCATGTGTGTCAGCAGCTACGAAACACAATACCCAGCAACTCCGGATTTAAAAAAAAAAAAACAAAAAACAAAAAAACCTCATAGCTGCTCACCATCATAGTTTGTTGCCTCAAGGGCCACATACTGACTACTTCCAACAGCTCCCTTCTGGATTGCCTGCAAAAGTGGGGATGAAGTACTCATTAGTTCAATCCAAAAGACATATTGGTAATTAAAGCATTTATGACACCTTGCTACAACAGTGTGTTGGGAATAAAAAAAGGAAACGATAATATTAAAGGAGAATACTCCCTTTTATTTAAAAAAAAAAAAATAAAAAAAAAGGTACTACAGGATTCCACAATAATGGCCTAATACACTGTAGATCATCTTAGAGCAAGCTGCAAGTTTTAGGCCATTAGCGTAAGGGGTATATTTATAAAAGCTTGTTGATAATACTTTGGCAGCGCAGAGGACTGTTTACATTCTTGTATGACCCTTCCCAGAAAATTCTGAAAAGCCATTAGGGGTCGGGAGGAAGGCAAAGGGAAAAGCTTCACAGCCTTTCTGACTCTTACCTGAAGGACTTGGGAATGCCCCTTCTCAGCACAAACATGCAATGGCGTTCTACCCCAGCAGTCTGTGGTGTTCACTTGGGCCCCCAAGCTAACCAGGTCCTGGACAATAAGATGCTGATTGGCCGCCACGGCCACCTGAAAGGCACTCTGCAAATATTGAGAAACAAAAGTTAACATATTAGTCAGCTGTTAGCTACCAGGAAATGGGGACTAAAAATATCCCCAAATACAAAACTATTAATAAAACAATGCTTATGGACACTGGGAAGCTTGGACAAACAACTCCAAGAACATGTTACTGGTTCTGGGTAATCCACTGAACTGGTGACAGCCCAAGGTGGCATGCAGGCTCAACCTCAGGTTTAATATTAACAAGCATTCCACCGCATTTGGCTTAGGGCTTGGAAATATAAAGCGTTTGGAAGCACATACAAGAGGCTGGGACATGGAGAACCTCACCTGGCCATTGTGTTCTTTAATATCCAACATGTGCAGAGCAGCCATCTTTCTAGCAAGAACATAGGAAAGAGCCCGTCGGCCCTGGGCAACAGCAATGTGAAGGAACCTGCAGGGAGGGGCACAAATACAGAGAGTTACAATTTAACTGTGCAAATAGGGGATGTAGCATTAGAGAAATACAAGTGCAGGATATATATGCTACAAGCATTCCACATTCAATGATGGCATGCAATTTGTGCTTTCGTTTTAATTCATGTAAGCACTGATCTACACCAGACTCTAGAACAGTAAAATCATATGGAATACTGGGTACTGGCAATATTACTGTACCACCTTTATTTAATAGGAGAAGCCATCACATTCTCAATATGCACCCACTGCTAATACGTGAAAGGAATCCCATTCCAACTGAACAATCCACAGACAGTCAAGCATAAACAACCCACACACTTCTAATTTAGCAGTGGTAAAATAAACAATACTCACGTGTCCCCATCTGAGTCTTTTGCAAGGATCTGCTCTTGAGAGATGTTGGCCAGTTTGTTCTCTTCCTGTTCCACTTGCCACTGAAAGAATGACTTGCCCAGTTGTGTCATGTTTCTGACAATACCTCGGTGTTGTAGAGAGACATTCAGAGTAGCCAGAGATGAATTGTGTCCATCAAGTGTACTACAGCTATTATTTGGTACTAGGCTGAAATTCTGAGCGTGGGCACTGACATCGGACTGCTGAGGGGCAGTGGCTAGAGGCTGGAGTATATTCTCTGAGTGTTCAGAATCATTCAAGAGAGATGCAAAACTTTGGGTTGGGCAATACGGCAGTTCGTGGCTTTCAAAGACATTCTGTTGGTAGGTAGGGGACTGGTCATCGCCAGAAAATGGCCTGTATTCCAGTAATGAATCCGGAGTATATTTCTGTGGCAAATCCTGGGTCTGTGAGGAAGAAAACTGGTAATTCTGGGGTGGATCCAGCATTTGTTGGGGACTATTCGCGTGGAAGGCTTGGTACTTCTCAGATGGGGAGAAAGCCTGTGCCCCTTGGAGATCCCGATAGCGTTCCCCTGGTGAGTTATGGTTCGATACGCTGTGCAGCCAGCTGACCTGCACTGTGTTCAGAGAAACAGGATTTGACTCATTCTTAATATTTATAATGTTTTGAAGCATGTCAGAACCATTCTCGTGTTTGGGTTCATTTTTATGGGCATCCTCCATGTTCTCCATAGAGGTTGGTGTTTGTGGTGGTGTCTGGAGAAAAATTAAAACAAAAGAAATGTAAAAGTTTATTTAGCTGACCATTTCCTATTACACAAACCAAGTGGAAAAATAATTTAATGTTAAATATTATAGAAGTATTTACCAAGAGGTGAGAATGGAAAGTAGCTGGTCTTTTGTAACTGGGTCCATCACAGAGAGACTCATGAGCCTTTCTTTTACCACTATGAGCGAGTATGTTCTTCAACTCTGTTCAAAGAAAATGCATTGACAATCAGTTTTTAGGTTACTCTTGCAATCTACTTTGCAAATATTCTAAAATATTTATACAGGTATTGCACAGAGGCATACAAAAGTAAGAACACTTGTACCTGTAAACTGTTCGTAGTTCATCAATCCTGCTTGTGCCTATGTAGAAAATAAGTACATTATTTTAAAAAAGCCAAAACCAATTTAAAAGCAGCTCTTTAAATAATAAAAAAAAAAGAGAAAAATGCAAACACTAACTATCCCCCTGTCCCTTAAAGCAGCCCTAACAGGTGATGGCCTGACCATATTTTCATTTTTTAATCTCCATCAGATTGGATGAAGAAAAAAAATCCTTTATTTTTAAGCCTACTCTTATGAAAGAGTTCTACGGAATTTTAGAGAAAATTATAACCTTTCTATAGGCTTTTTGAACCATCTTATAGAATGTACCAGAATTATATCCAGGCTATAGAATCTGATACAGTGGTTCAAAAAAACCTATACATTCTATTAAATTCCATAGGATCATAGAGAAAATTCCGTTGAAACCCATCAGCTTCATCCCTATTAATTTCCATAGGGCTTTTCCATAAGAGAATCACTCCTGAAGATTCTTATGGGATGTCCATAACAAACAAACAAAATCAAAATCAAGACACCCTTCTAAGATATTCCTCTCTCTGGGCTTCCCAACACGTCTCATTTCCTGTTTCTGTCTATTGGATTGCAGGCTCCTCAGGGAACACACCACCCACCCACCTTCACTCTTGAGTCCTGTATAGCACTGAGCAGGCCATCAGCTCTGACAAGCAATTAAATAATAGTTCCCTTCTCAGAATGCCGCGCCCCTCAACCCTTTCCAGAATTCTATCAGACTGCACAGTGAGTTTTCATAGTTTCAAATGTAAGTGTGTGTTTATGTGTGCTCCATTTGGAAAATAAAGTTTTGTAAGCAAAAAAGACTTTCAAAATGTGTTTCTTTTAGCAAGCACAGTGAAACCACCTGCTGGCTTCTTCCCAATTACCTCCCAACCACAACCTCTTCCCTCCTCCTATTTTGGGAGAGAAAAATACCTCTGCTCATATGGACATCAGCAAGGAGCCAAATTTGGTTTTAGTGTTATCAGGTGGTACATCTGTTCATTCAGAGCTGAACTCACTTATGCCAGAGTTGAATTTGACCCATACCATCAAAAATACTGAATTACCTTGAATTCATCAGCAACATGGCCTGAGGACATCTGTTTGTTGCTTCTAATGTGCAATAGGAGCTCCTTCACTGAATTTTTCACACGAACCCCTTGGAAAGGTCCTCTGTGCTGCTTTCCTCCCCCCATGTGGTGTTCAGCTGTAGAGAAACAAAACAAAAACAAAATTAATGCATCGGCACAATCCTGACCCAAGGAGGCAAATCAAGAAACAACTGTGGAAAATAACTTGAAACTCTGCTTTCAACTGAAAATGCAGACAGTCCTTTGACATAAAAATATATTGCACAGAACCTTGCCAGCCAGTGTTTCAGTAGAATATAACCTGTCTGAATTTTATTTCTCTGGCGTCTTCCAAACGCCAACTCTTATTGGTTAACAAGCTGGAAATAACATAGCACATCAGCATCATAGTGGCTAGAAGCCCCAGCCACAGAGCAGGACCCCACTCATAGGCACTGTACAAACACAGGAACAAAAAAAAAAAAAAAAAAAAAAAAAACTGTCCCCTGCCACAATCTATTACATATAAAAAAATATTAGATGTCAAAATGCTACAGGAGTTTGTATAATAATTTTCAGAATTACTTGTGTTTGTTATCTTCATAGTGACTGAAACTGAAGCTTTAAGAAAGAAAACTTGCTTTGTTAGAAGTACAATACAACTGTGACACTCCCGGCCTGACCTCTTTTGTCTCACATCCTCTTTAAAATTAAATCAGTTTTGAAGCTACAAAAACAGAAGTGGAAGACAGGAAATGATGACCTAAGGCATTCGACTTGCAAAAGGAAGTTATGTGACCTGATAAGGAAAGTACAGAATCCAGTATATAGATTTTTATAGACTAAAGTCTTAACTGGAGATCAGAGTTCAGGTTCCAAATTTCCCTGGCCAGCAGGAGCTGGGATTTCTCTCTGGGAAAGAGGAAATAAAGGGCTTGAGTCAAAGACCACTGATGTCAAGTAGTAGTCTCTCTATGGTCTTCAAAGCACCCCATCCAAGCGAACAGTCCAAGAGCCCCAGCTTTCCTTAGCCAGAAGCAGGGCCTTTGAGTGGAGGTATGAAGAGGAAAACAGGCTGACTCCTACCCACAAAGAAGATTTTTCGTTTTTAAAAAGACAATATAAACAAGATTATTAAGATTGTGCTTATATGGTTAAAAATGTTTTCAACAAACAAAAATCTTATGGGAAATAAATCCAACCAGATACAAATCAAACCTATGGGGGAAAGGGGGGGAGAGTTTAAGATTATTTGGGGAGGGAGGAAGGACATAATGCAAATATATCAAATAGTTAGTGTGCTACATTAAAATGGAGGAGCAAACATTTTCAAGGACTTGTTTTAAACAAACCACTGTAGATAAAAGGCTGTTTCCAGATTGTACTGACATCCCAATACATACAGCGATACGCACACAAATCTCCTAGGGCTAGCTTTTGATACCCTTACTCCACATGCAGAATTCCACTGAAGTCAATGGGATTACTTGTGGAGTAAGGTGCTACTTACCAGGAGTAAAGGGTATTAGAGTCTGGCCCTACGGGCCTCATCCTACTATGAAGTGCCAAGTGCCCTCCCCACCTACTGAGCAAAGTCTGTTGAGGGTGCTCTGCTGAGCTCACGGGATTTTGTCCTATAAAAGATGCACTAGACTAGAGGATGAATCATCCAGTGCAAAATATACAATGGTTTCTTCCCCCATTTGAAGGGTGTTTTCAAAATGACAGTTCTTCTAAAGAACTTTCTTCCTAGCCTACTTTCAATTCTCGAACAGTTATGAATTTGCAGCGGTTCGTTTTCAAAGTATCCCTTGTTGTAACCAACTTGCTTTATACAGTGGTTGTACATACCCCTCCCCACCTCACTTCAATATAAAATTTAAAAATTATTAAGGGGCAGCAAAGGAAAAAGGCAACAACAGCACAAGGCCACACTAGCAACTATTTACGCATGATCCTCTACCCATCACAGCTTCTTACATCTTTGGGATCTAGGTGCTATATAAACACAAGGGATTTTAAGTGAGCATGAGCCTCTTTCCTCAGAAGAGGAAATAAGCCGCAGAAGACGCCTGGGAGGTACGCAAGCGTCAGTTGCACGGTTGACTTTGAAGCAGCACTTTTCCCCTCGGAAGATCAACACAGCCCTGTGGCCAATCCAGCGCCCTTGCAATGCAGCCACCTCTGGGGCGGAGGAGGGCACAGGACGGCACGGCGCTGGGGGCACCGCAGCCGCACAGCTGGCTCGGCTGACTGCGGACGTGCCCCTGCAGTGCCCGGGTGAAGGCGGCGGCTCGGCATTGCCTTCGAGGGGCCCGTGTTATGGGCTGGCTCTAAACACCCAGGCTCGCAGCGTCTGCGGCTAATCAATAACCCCCAGGAGAGCAAAACCCCGGGGAGCGCTGCGCCAGCGCGTCTCTCCCCCTGGCAGGGCGGCGGGGGCCGGCTGGCGCGTACCTTGCAGGGCTTGGCGGACGCCGTCCAGGGAGTCCCTCCTCCGGCCGCCACTGCTGCCGCTGCTGACGGACAGCTCGGAGTCGGAGCCGGGCGACCCCGGCGCGGAGTGAGCCGGCGAGCAGCTGCCATCGCTGGAGTAGGGGGAGGCGCTATAGAAATAGGCCAGGTTGAGGGGGCTGCTCATGGAGCCGGAGTCGCCGTCGGCCGGCGCCTCCCGGTTGCTGTCCACGATCATATTCCTCGGGGCGGGCCGGGGAGACTGGCGGGAAGCAGCAGCAGCCACCGCGGGCTGAGCAAGGGCGCCGAGGAGTGGGAGGCGGAGGGGGAGGCAGCGGCTCTAATAGCAGCCCCGCCCCGGCGGGGAGCGGGCGGCGGGGAAGCAGCGGGCGCGCAGGCCATTGGCCGCGGCCGGGCGTGAGGCGCTGCCGAGGGCGGGAGTGCCAGTAAATGCCCAGGATTGGGCAATACCCCGCTGGCTCCGGGGCCTCGCTTGGTTAGCGCGGCCTGCCTGGTTTCAGCGCTTTGGTGAGTGAATCATTAGCCACAAGCAGCACAGCCCACCGCCCCTACAGCAAGTGTTTGTCCCTCTCGGTACATTTCGTGCTGGGTGGAGACGCTCCGGGCTGCTGAGGCGAGGCAGTCAGAGAGTGACGATAGCCACATCCCTCTCCCGTGGACCGCTGATCATAACCGCATCGACCCACTGAGTCATTGGCTTGGGGGAACTTCGACTTTTGACCAGCTGACATGGCACTGGGTACCACATAACGATACATAAACAAACTGGGGAAGGAGGAAGAGGAATTACTTTTCATTACCCACATTTTCTTTTCGCTATCAGGTGAAAGAGGAGGGTTGTTTGGAATGAACCATGTATTTAATCTATACCCTCAAATCTGACCAACTGGAGAAGAATTTGCAGTGTAAACTACGAAACAAAAGCAGCTACCATACAAACTTTTCACACCAATGTCAGAAACACAGTAGTCAAATAAAGCTTAAAATTCACATATTTCCACGAGCAGTCTTATCATGTGTGAGCATTCTTGTTGACTGCAGCAGGCCTTAGGTTTGCAAAATCAGGTCGTAGATTTTATAGATGCAGCAAAATGATTTTTCTCCCTTCCCGAACCATGTACAATTCAACAGCACACTCAATGCTGCACTGATAGCAAGTAGCTATTGTCACTATTTCTTAGGTCTGGTCAACACTTCATCTTTAGGTCAACATAGCTATTGTGCTTAGAGATGTGAAAAATCCACAGACTTGAAGGCTGTAGCTATGTCAACCTAACTCTCAGTGTAGACACAGCTAGTTCAATGGAAGAATGCTTTGCTTGACCTAGTTACCATAGCTCAGGGAGGTAGTGTTCCTACAGCAATGGAAAAGCCCTGTTTCCATAGGCTGCATCTACAGCGCCGCAGCTATGCCCCTATAGTCCCCATAGCATAGACATGACTTTACTACAAAAGCGTGTGAGATCCTTTCACCCTAAAATACTCTTTGCAACTTGGTAACTGATGAATGACTCCCTAAAGTAATTTTCTGAAAACTGCTCAGACTTTACATATCTATAGCTGCCCTACACCAAAAGGTCAATATTGTACATAGTACTGAAGTGTTACCTAGTTCTTTAGTGGTTAGGTGTGGGTGGGTGTTTTGTTTTAACTATTGTTGCAAATGGGTTACCCTTCTCTTAACAAACACACAGTAGTTTACATGTGAAGAGTATATAATCCAAATAATTAGATCATGTTGCAATTATCAATAACATTCTCATTAAAATGTCAAGATTAATTAAAAAAACCTTTCACACAAAATCAAATTCATTATGTTATTTGTATTGTGGATGCTCCCAATGGTTCCAGTCAAGATCATGGCCCCATTTTGCTAAGCACTATAAAAACACATAAGGGTAGAAAAGAGAATACTCCCTGAATATTACCTTGGGGAAGTGGTCCTCAACCCACAGGCCGCTTGTGGCCCAATCAGCACACTGCTACAGCCCACGTGACATCCTCAGCACCATACAGGTTGTATATATATGGTGTGGGTTTGGCCCACATAACACATACAGAGCTGCAGATGCAACCCACAATAGTAAATAAGATACCACTACCTTAGAGTGATGACCTTTGGGTGAACTTAAGTGGAGCTTTATGTCCCATGAAGAATGTTGCATAAAATCTAGCTTCAGTTTAATATGGTTTTTGTTTTGATTTAACTAGGGTTTACTGATTTTTCTATTCTATTTCTAAGCTTTTCTTCTCCGCTCTATTCCGTAAAGGTATTTGAGGTCTAAATCCCTGTTGCTGTCCTAGCATCCAAAATCCACTCAAGGCACCACACTATGTTTATTAGTAGCTATTTCTACAGGGACATCTTATTTGTTAGGCCCTCTGATAAAAGCCTATATTCAGCTAAGGTAGATTAAGGTCTTTCTAACTCCACTGAGCTCTGTAAACAAAAACCCTTTCTGTAACACATACCCCCATTTATTGCACAGGATCCGCTCGCTGGCTCATAGCAACCTTATAAAGGGTGTTGTCATTTCCCAGTAACTTCCACATACATAAAATGACTGTTATGTTGCCACATATATGTATTAAAACCATCATGCTAAAGGTCTTGAACACCAAGCAGGATCTCTGGTGGCTCCACTGGCGAAGACCCCAATAAACGTGTCCAGTATTGGAAAGTTCTCCGCGGATAGAGGACATGATAGTGGCACAAAGAGGCTGGAATATCTACTCCTCTGAGGGACCAACATAGAGCAAGCACAGCCAAAAATGGGAGAGGCACTGGCAGGAGCATGAGGTCCAGTCGATGCAATAATTCAGCACATGCCACTACCAGCCTCCCCTGGTGGGGCTCTAACAGCACATTAATGCAACACAGCTCCACAGGGCAGGTGTAAATTAGGGTCAGAATATTAGACCCAGCTTAAATACAATCAAATAGAATTGTACCACCTTCATTTTCTGTTACTGTGTGCAACAAACTCTCAGGCAGTGGATAGTTTCCTTATTATAGAACCTCAAATGGGCTCATATACTCATCAGTTATAGGCTGTCAATATGAGGTTCTGGTCAAAAAAAATACCACTGACCAAGGACAGCAAGGGCCAATGTTGTTTTTCTGAACAAGTCATGCAGTTATGCAGTGTACCATTCATGCCAGCTAGTGGCCAAAGTTGGAAACAAACATTTTACTGAAACATTGCTTTAATAAACAAATTCACAAGTAAATACCTACACTTACTTCTATAATATTTGGGCACTGTACAAAATGAAGCAGTGCATTATTATCCCCTTTAAAAGATATAACTCTTCTCCCTTCTCTCACTTTAAACTGCTGTCTTATTCTGGTCAAATATTGGTGGACATAAGGTAGATCAACCTGGTTTTACCTTGACTAGATGTTCCTGATCACTGAAACTACTTAGACATGTAACAATTAACCAGTTAGCTTAATCATAGTTACATGTCTCAGCACCACAGCACTCTTTAATAATGACAGTATGAATTCAGTTTAAGAGACATGATTTTGCCAGCCAGCTTTGAACCAGTTTTTACTCTTCATAACGCAGATTCAAAAACCTTTGAAACACTATAGAGCAACAATGTAGAGCCAGAATCTGGCCCCTGCTCCCAGAAAGGGAATGTAAAGAGGCCACAACCACCATTAGCAGAATATCCTCTGCAAGGAATGACATAGCACTGATGTATATGGGCCTATGCTGCCCACAGCAAGAAGTACAGGAGTTATGGTAGGGATTCATGGGGGAGTGGCTGGAGGGAGTGCTCTTTGGTCTGGCAAATCTGGGCTGCAGAGCAGCACGTAAGTGGCTGTGGAAGACTCCTGGAAGTTAGAGCAGTGTCTGGGGTTGCTCTAACTCACACTGGAAACTGCCCAAGACCCCAGAATCCAAGAGGCACAAAAACAGAATCGAGGAACTTTTTCCCTGTTCCTCCTGGCCATCATGCTCTGTGCTTTACCTCCCAAGAGCTTATAAACTTTAGATCCATATACACCAGTAAACTATGAACTGTTAGTGATAAGATTCCTTTATCAACATATTTCTGGGATGGGATCACCAGAACATTGCCTAAGTTGTCTAAAGTGGAAATACAAATGTTACAATTGACAAACGTATTCCATTATCTAGGCAAATATTTGCTGTACTAAGGCTCCTGATGTAAATGCTCTTTACACTAGAATAAGTATATTTAGCCTGGCGCAGCAAGCTCTTGGGCCAATTTATACAAATATAGCTGCCACACCCTTGTGTGCCGGAAGGATTTCTAAATAGCACTCCAAAATATAGTCAAACATAACATTGTACTTGTCTTTTGAATAGTATCACAGCATTTGGAGGCTAAAGCATATGATTATTTTCTCTTCAGAGACTACTCAGAAGCAGTAGATAAGTTTGCTTTAAGTTTGAACAAGGAGACTGAACAGCTCAGTGGATTGGAAATGGGATGTGACACCTTTTACCTCTAAAATCCAGCGTAGGGAACCTTTTATTGCCTCTGACTTCATTATAGTTGTTCTGATCCCTTTTTTGTGTGGATGGTGGTTTCCAGGGGTGTCAGCCTAGAACTAAATTGACTTCAAAAAAGATTGTGTTTGTGTGTGTTGTATGCTCATACATAATTCTTCCAGTTTTCCTTTTTACATGGAGTGCTCATACACAGTAAATATTTTAGGGTCCAAACCTGTTGGGTACAGAATGCCCTTAATACTCCTTTTTTCTTCATTGGGAGCTAAGGGTGCTCAGCACCTCGTGGGATCAGGCCCCTACTAAGGGCAAAAATGAAATAAGATTGGCCTCTCAGACTGTGGGCAAAACAGAGCCAAGATCAGTAGGGAGGAGAAACATCAGAGCTCCCGTGCATTATGCAACTGCCATGCAGCTGATCTGAATTCTTTATAAGTAATGCTTTCCCATAAGCAATTTCTCCATACCCCTTATTCGCTGCTAGCACTCCTCCTCCACACACAAACTGCTGTAGGTGATCATCATTTTTCATTAGTTCCCGCTCTCATTTCTACTATAAGGGCCTCGGGGCAGGGACTGGTCTCTAAAGCAGCACGCACAGCAGTGACACCATAATGTATAGATAATTAATAAGCAAAACGCAGATTTCCCCATGACAAAGAGCAATGTCACATCACCCGGAACGGATATCTTGTTCACTAGTGTGGGATACATACCACACGTGGCTGAATGTTTTGCTCACCAATTTTTACCATAGCATTCCACTTGGAATTAACATTAAGGCTAGGATTTGT